CGAGGCGCGGGAAGGGCGCGTGCGTGGAGAAGTCGCTGTTGAGGCTCTGCAGCCGCAGCGCCGCCAGCGTCTGCAGCGTCTCCTCCGACGTGGGCACCTGGCCCCGCAGCACCATCTCGTGCGCCTGCGGCGGGCGCGCGTGAGCGGTGGGACCACGGACACCCCAGCGGGATGGGGATGTGCACGGGGATGTACATGGGGACAGGGACACGCGCAAGGATGTGCATGGGGACAGGTACATGCACGAGGACAGAGATGTGCATGGGGATATACATGGGGATGCACAGGGATGTGCATCGGGATATACATGGGGACACGGACACGTACAAGGATGTGCACAGGGACAGGGACACGTACAAAGATGCGCATGGGGACAGGGCTATGCATGGGGACAGAGATGTGCACAGGGATATACTTAGGGAAGCACAGGGATGTGCACGGGGACAGGGATACACAGGGATGTGCATAGAGACAGGGACATGCATGGGGACAGGGCCGTGTATGGGGACAAAGCCAGCAAGGTGCATGGGGACAGGGACGCACAGGGACATACGCGGGGCCGCAGCCGCTGCTCCCACCTGCTCAAAGAGCAGAGCGAACTCCAGGCTGTCGCGCGGGACGTTCTCGGTGTCGAGGAAGCCGTAGTGCTTGAAGCAGAGCCGGCCCGGCGGTCCCTGCTCCCGCTCCTCCCCGGCCAGGCTGTGAGGGCAGCAGGGGGATGCGTGGGCACCGGGTGGCTCCGGGATCCGCGCAGCCCGGCCCCGGCCCCCTCCGAGTGGGACATTTACTTTTCAAACCTGGTGAGGACGTCGGCCAGCAGCGTGGCGCTGCCCACGGGCTGCTCCCGCAGCCGCGACTGCTCATAGAGCGCAAAGAGGTTGGGGCTCTGCGACAGCCCCAGCCGCGACACCAGCTCCCGGGCCACCTGTCCGGGCGAGAGGGGCGGTGACTGCGCGGCGCCCCGGGGCGCTGCAGCGCTCGGTGCAGCACCCTGTGCTGGTGCCAGCCCCGCGCCAGCCCTGCGCTCACCTCGGCCGCCGTGGTGTGGGAGCTGATGGCCACGCGGCAGGCGGCCGCGCCGGGGCAGTGCACTGTGCAGACCATGTCCTGCCGCCGCGCCAGCACCACGATCTCCTCGAGCGAGGGCACGCACTGCCGCCCCCGCGTCTTGCCCAGCGCCGCCCGGATGAAGCTGGCGTACTTGGCCATCTCCGAGGACGGGCAGCGGCTCTCGGTGCTGCGGGAGGCGCCGGCGGTCACGGCGGGACCCGCTCGGCTCGGTGCAGACCGCAGCGGTGCCACCACTCACCGGTCGAGGTGCGCGCGCAGGAAGCGCAGCACGGGCGCCGAGGGCACGAAGGTGCAGCTCATGCACGTGAGCAGCTGCCAGTAGCGCAGGTCGCCCTGCGCGCCCGGTGCCGGCGGCTCCGTCGTCTGCTTCACCAGCTGGCAATAGACCTCATCCACCAGCGGCGGCAGGTCCAGGCAGGTCTGCAGGACGCCCTGCATGAGTGGCGCTGGCTCCCGCTCCGCCTCCAGCTGCTGCAGCGAGTGGAAGAGCTTCACGGCCTCGTCGCGCAGCGGCGCGTAGCGGCGCCCGCC